TCGATATGCTAGGTATTAGTAAGCTGAAATGGATTGGTATTGACCATTTTGAATCACACAAATCATGTGATCTACTATGCTGGAAATGACAAATTGAAGAGGAATGGCATTGCATTCATCATCAAAAAGACCATTTCAAGAACTATCCTGAAGTACAGTGCTGTCAGTGATAGGATAATCCATATGCCTATGAGGAAGACCACTAAATATCACTATTATTCAAATTTATGCATCAACCACTAAAGCCAAAGATGAAGAAATTGAAGAGTTTTACCAACTTCTTCAGTCTGAAATTGACCAAACATGCAATCAAGATGTATTGATTATTACTGGTGATTAGAATGAGAAAGTTGGAAAAAAAGAAGAATCATCAGTAGTTAGAAAATAAGGCCTTGGTTATAGAAATGATACCAGAGATCACATTATAGAATTTTGCATGACCAATGACTTACTCATTGCAAATAGGTTTTTTCAACAACATAAACTATATGGGTATGCCTGTGGACCTCACCAGACGGAATACACAGGGATCAGATGACTACATCTGTGGAAAGAGGCGATAGAGAAACTCAATATTATTAGTCAAAACAAGGCCAGGAACTTACTGTGCAACAGACCATCAGTTGCTCATGTTGTTGTTGTTGTGTGCAGTCAAGTCATCTCCAATTCATAGTGACCCCTCTTAGGTTTCTGAGGCGGTAACTCTACAGAAGTAGATTGCTTAATCTTCCTTCTGAGGAGTGGCTGGTGAGTTGGAACCACCATCCTTCTGGTTAGCAGTCAAGTGCCTTAGGCGCCACACCACCAGTTGCTCAAATTGGAGCTGAAGAAAATTCAAACAAGTCCATGAGAGCCAAAATATGACCTTGATTATATCCCACCTGAATTTAGAGACTATCTGAAGAATATTTTTGACACATTGAACAGTAATGATGGAAGACCAGACAGGTTGTGGGATGGCATCAAGAACATCATACATGAAGAAAGAAGAAGGTCAGTAAAAAGTCAGGAAAGGGAGAAAAGGCCAGAACAGATGTCAGAAGATATTCTGAAACTTGCTCTTGAACATAAAGTAGCTAAAGCAAATGGAAGAAATGATGAAATAATAATGCCTGAGAGTAGATTTCAAAGGGTGGCTCCAGAAGACAAAGTATTATAATGAATTGTGCAAAGACCTGGGGTTAGAAAACCAAGAGAGAAGAACATGCTTGGCATTTCTCAAGGTGGAAGAACTGGAGAAAAAAAAAATTAAACTTTGAGTTGCAATATTGAAGGATTCTTTAGGAAAAATATTGAATGATGCAGGAAGCATCAAAAAAAGATGGAAGGAAATGCTGGAGAGGATATGGACAGATTGGGACTCTCATACACTGCTGGTGAGACTGTCAAATGATACAAACACTGTGAATGCAGTATGGTGATTCCTTAAGAAGTTGGAATTAGAAATACCATTTGATCCAGCAATACCATTAATAGGTGTGTATCCTAAAGAAGTGAGAGCCAGGACAGGAACAGATATGCACATCCATGTTCATCGCAGCACTATTTACAATAGCAAAAACATGGAAACAACCTAGGTTCCCATCAGCGAAAGAATGGATAAGCAAACTATGGTACATACACACCATGGAATACTATGCAACACTAAGGAATAATGTGGAATCTACAAAACACCGCATAATGTGGGTGAACTTGGAGGATATTATGCTGACTGAAATTAGTTAATCACAGAAGGACAAATATTATATTAATTCATTATTGTAAAAAGTCAAGCAAAGGTTTATATGTAGAAGGAAACTTTCTTTGCTGGTTACCAGGGTTGAGAAGGGAGGAAAGGGAACACTGCAAAAATAAAAATCAAAGAAGATGGAAGGAATATAAAAAGTCACTGTAGAAAATAGAATTGGTCATTATTGAACTATTTCAGGAGCTAGCATATGATCCAAAACTGATAGTAAGTGTTGAAGGAAGACGTACAAGCTGTGCTGAAGGGACTGGCATAAAACATGGCTCCAGGTATTTATGGAATACCCATTGAGATGTTTTAGCATACAGATGCAGTGCTGGAGGGGCTTACTTATTTATGCCAAGAAATTTGGAAGATAGCTAACTGGTCAACTGACAGGAAGAGGTCCATATTTGTGCCTATTCCAAAGAAAAGTTATCCGTTGTTGTTAGGTGCCATCAAGTTGTCTCTGACTCATGGCATCCCTATGCACAGCAGAATGAAACATTTCCTGGTCCTGTGCCAGCCTCATGATCCTTGCTATCTGATCCCATTGTTGCAGCCACTGTGTCAATCCATCTCATTGAGGGCCTTCCCCTTTTTCGTTGACCCTCCACTTTACTAAGGATGATATTCTTCTCCAGGGAATGGTTCCTTCTGACAACATGACCAAAGTAGGTGAGACAAAGTCTAGCCATTCTCGCTTCTAGAGGACAATTTTGGCTGCACTTCCTCCAGGACAGATTTATTAGTCCTTTTAGCAGTCCATGATACTCTTAGCATTCTTCTCCAACACTGCAACTCAGAAACATCCAGTCTTCTTTGGTCTTTTTTATTCATTGTTCAGCTCTCACATGCATACGAGGTGACTAAAAATACCGTGGCTTGGATTAGGCGCACCTTGGTCTTCAAGGAGACATCTTTGCTCTTCATTGCTTGAAAGAAGTTTTTTTGCAGCATATTTGCCAGTGCAATACGTCTTCTGAGGTCTTGAGTGCTGCTTCCATTGGTGTTTATTGCAGAACCAAGTAATAGGAAGTCTTTGACAACTTCAATCTTTTCTGCATTCACGTGAAGCTGTTTATTGGACCAGTTGTCAGGATTTTTATTTCCTTTATATTGAGGTGTAATCCTTACTACAGACTCTAGTCTTTAATCTTCATCAGGAAGTGCTTCAAGTCATCCTTACGTTCAGCAAACAAAGTTGTGTTATCTGTGTATCGCGGGTTGTTAATGAATCTTCTTCCAATCCTGATGCCATGTTCTTCTTCATATAGTCCAGCTTCTTGGATTATTTGCTCAGCATACAAATTGAATAAGTATAGTGAAAAGATACAACCCTGATGCACTCCCTTCTTGATTTTAAACCATGCAAGTGTCCCCTTGTTCTGTTCAAATGAGAGCTTCTTGATCTAAATACAGGTTCCTCAGGAGTACAATCAAGTGCCCTGGAATTCCCATAGTTGTCAATATTATCCATAATTTGTTATGATCAAAACAGTCAAATCCTTTTGATTGAGCTTACCATTTGGAAGTTAGGGAGATCAATACCCATAATTCTTCCCTTTATGTTTCTTAAGGACCTTGAGATCAAACAATACATTTGTATATAATTCATGTGTCGGAAAAAAGAAAAAAGCATCACAATGAAGGATACTGATATATTTATGTGCTTGTCTCCACCACTAAACTGAAATTCTTGTTAATAGATCCATACTATATATCATTATTGTTGTTAGGTGCTGTGAAATGGGATTCAACTCATAGTGACATAGTGTACAACAGAACAAAACATTGCCCAGTCCTATTCCATCCTCACAATCCTTACTATGCTTAAGCCCATCATTGAAGCCACTGTGTCAATCCTTCTTGTTCATCTCCTTTTTCTCTGACTGTACATTTTACCAAGCATGATATCCTTCTCCAGGGATTGGTCCCTTCTGACCATATGCCCAAAGTAGGAGAGAAAAAGTCTGGCCATTCTCACTTCTAAGGAGCATTCCAGGACAGATTTGTTTGTATTGTTTGATTTCAGAATGCTTACTGATTTCTAATTGAATTCCTTTATGGCTAGAGAATGTAAGATTTCAGTCCTTTGAAATTTGACATTTGTTTTATGGTTCAGCTTACGTTATATAGTGTTTTATAGCTGTTTCCTGCAAAACAGGAGATTGTCCTGTGAGATCACACCTGAAGTGGAAGTTCATGTTATACTTTGGAAGTAATTCTAGAAAGAAGTAATTTTGTTATACTACTCTCATGATCTATTTATAATAAAAAAAGATTGCAAGTTATTTGTGGTATTTATAGATAAATGCACCAAGGAGGAAAATCAGGTTCTCAAATATTTTATTGACTATCAACCAGAGCCAGATATTGAGCTAAGTTTGGTGGTATAAAAATGAGTATTACATACTCTCTGATCTCAAGGCACTTAAGAAACATAAAGGGAAGAATGATGGGTATTGATCTCACTAACTTCCAAATGGTAAGCTAAATCCCTTTCTGTATTTATTTATCATAATTGTTATAGGTATAAATTCCTTACCAAAAAAAAAGTCAAGTTTTGGCATAGCTGATTTGGAGTGCTGCAGGATTTTTGGCATTTGCCAAGTCTTTCTTGTCAACTCACTGAAGGTGAATCTCTTAAGAACATGGGCCGTGTCTGGTTTAATTTTGTCCCTAGGGCTTAGAATGGTCCTGCTCTGAAGTATTGATTAATTCAATGAATGGTTTATCTTTATCGATAAACCGTTAGTTTCCTTTACTGTCTTCATAAGTACCCTTAAAAATTAAATCACAGAAGACTAAGGATTGTCTGATTATCACAAACTTTTCTAATAATTGTTTAAGCAAGAGAGTTTTACTGCTGTCCTTTGTGCACTTACAGTTTGGAGTTGGAGGTGATACAGTTGAAACTAGAAATGTAGTTGAACAGATACTTAGTTATTCTAAGCTCTCTAGGGGCCAAAAATTAGAGTTCACCATGATGTGTTCAGGAGAAGGGCCATGAGAAAGAGTTGTGATAGAGTTAGTTGTAAACATGTTCAGTGTTTTGAAGCCCTCATAAATGAGAAATGTTTAGTAAGCCACATTGATCTGGAAAAGAAGATCAGGGAAGAAGTAAGAGTTTGAAGTACAGAGTCATCCACTCAAAGGTGATAGTTAAACCTGAGAATAGAAGAAGGAGAATGGGCATAAAGGGAAGTACGGAGGTCTGAGAACACCATGTAATAAATTATACTATTTCCCATTATCTTTTTGTCTAACCCAGAACTTTTTAGAAAAATCAACTGAAAGAGAAACTCGCCAAGAATATGCTCTGGCTATGATTCAGTGCAAAGTACTGAAACAACTGGAGAACTTGGAACAACAGAAGTATGATGATGAAGATATCAGTGAAGATATAAAATTTCTTTTGGAAAAACTTGGTGAGAGTGTCCAAGATCTTAGGTGTGTTATTTTCTTTAATTCTCAAAGGCTGGATCCATTATGCCTTGTTTGACTTGCATAGTATTTTAAGAGAATCTCAATTTGTTACCAACTTTAAAAAATCAAGGGATTTCACTAAAATGTTATGCCTTTTGTCAAAAATTGGAAAATTTCATTCTTACTAGGCAATGATTAGTTAGAGCTGTGTGTTTTCTCTTTAGGGGGAGATCCCTACTGTTGTCTGTTGTCTAAAATCTAACCGGCTCTATTCAGGATGACAGCCTGACCCTGGAACCATTTTAACGGTCTACCCTTGATTTAGAGCCTTTTAAAAGCACCAATGGTTGTTTGCTGATTTGTGGAGGAAGATTGCCTATGTATGGGCAGGTTATTTTTTTCCTGCTTTTTTGAAGGTCCTGTTGGCTTATTTTATTTTATGTACTAAAAATCATGCAAATAATGTACAGATAGTAAAGGAAACAAAAAAGTAATCCTTCCACAGTACAGAAGAATCTACAGTGGAAAGTAAAAGAGCCCATGCCCTTTCTGCCATCTTCCACCTTCTTAGCCCCATTCCACCTCTAGATTCTTGTGTTCCTTCTATATAAACCTCTTCCCCTCGCCACAAATGGAATTATGCATATTCTTCTCACCCTTGTTTTTTGTGCTTAATAACGTCTTGATGTTCTTTCCCATTAATACACCTGTCTTATCATTTTTAAATGATTGACATTTTCTCAGAAAACAAAAAATTCCCTGTAGGTAGATTGGCTTTATGAGCCAGGCTTGAGCTTGAATTGTTTGGCTACTTTATAGATCTGTGACCTTGAATATATTTCTTAACAGTTATAAGTCTCAGTTTTCTTTTTGGTAGAATATGAATAAAAATGCTAACTTTACAGGATTTGTTGTGAAATTTTTAAGTGCCCAGCAAATGCTTTCAGAATAGTATGTGCTCCAGAAATGTATTAACCTGATAATTTAGTATGGTCCATAGCCCAAGACCTAAAGGATTTCATAGAAATGGAATGTATATTATCTATATACATTGGTTTATAATGGATTTTTTTTTGAGAGGGGAGCTCTGGTAGCGTAGTACCTAAGGCATTTGACTGCTAACCAGAAGACTGGCGGTTCAAAGCTACCAGTCACTCCTCGGAAGGAAGGTTGGGCAATCTACTTCCGTAGTGATACCACCTTGGAAACCCAGGGAGGGCTCGCTATGTGTCAGGTCCAACTCGACAGCACATAACAACAACAACAATAATGGATTTTTATAGAGGGATGCAAATGATCTTTGCCATTCTAAAATTTCAAATATGGGAGTGTTGATTGTAGTATAATAAGCAAGCGAGCAATAAGTTTCCACAGTGCTAAGCTCTGTTGTTTTTATGTTTATTTTAAAAATTTATAAGTTTCTCTGTAATAATTGTTTAAGGCTTTTTTTTTTTTTTTTGGCTCCACAAATAAAATTAACGACAGGTACCTTTGTAATTATTTAATCCAAGCTTTCTTGTTAGCCAATTAGTATTGATTTTTTTTGGTCTTGAATTTGATAAATATTATTATTTGCTTAAAGTGAATGAGAGTGCAATTGAAAGAGATTTATCTCAGATTAGTTGGCTTTAGATTTAGGATACCAATATTAAAAAGTACTAATGTGCTTTTACTAACTGATCCTACTTTAAAGCAAATTACTATTTTTTTCAAAGGGATATTTTCTGGTCAGTTTAACCAGTGATCCTGGTTATACCACATTGTCAATCTTAATATTTAAATGGCTACACTTTTCTTTTTTTTTAAGCTGAAAGTAAATACAAGCATGTCTTTTCACTGGTTACACAGAAAAAACACACTGCCATTGAGTAGGATCCAACTCACAGTGACCTCTCCTTGGGTCTCTGTGGAGTTATCACTATGGAAGTAGATTGCTAACCTTCCTTCCAAGGAGTAGCTAGTGGGTTTGAACGGCCAGCATTCTGGTTAGCAGTCAGATGCCTTAGGCACTACGTTACCAGAGCTCCATTTCACTGGTTAGCCACATTTAAAAATTTTATATTACGAAGTTTTGAATAATAAATTATTACTTTAAACACAGTGAATGATTTTTTAATTAAAGTATATTGCAGTTTGTTTATGTACAGAGGGTTTTGTTTTTATTTAACTTCTAATATATGAATTCATTTAATGAATTACCTCTACAATTTTGGTAATCCCATTATAAAATATGCTGATACTTGTGTTTTTCTCTTTCTGAGATGTATTATTATAGTTTTCTACATTTGTAATATAAATGTAATAGTATTACAAGATATTTCACTTTATGTTAAAGAACTATGCTTTTATATAAATTTACATATAGTAATCTAGCAAACTACTTCGGTAGTGATATAGCCTTGGAAACCCAAGGAAGGGTTGCTATGAGTTGGATCTGACTTGATGGCAGTGTGTTTGGTTTGTTGTTCTTTTTCAGTCTGGCAAATACAGTAATTCAAATGTCCTGGTGAAAAACTCTGCTAGATTATCAGATATTTTTATTGAATAACATTTATGTGTATATTAAGGATTTGGAAAGCAAGTGCTCATTTTAATATCTCATACCAAGCATTTCAATTTCATTGTATTGGTTCTTTATGTATTTTAATAAATTTTTACATGATTTATTAAACATTATTTAAACTGTTTAAAGACACTGTTTTTACTGTTTGTTAAGTACAAGGGTCAAAATCTTTATGATCATGAGTGAGGATGTTATGTTTCATTTAATTTTGGACTGTCAGATTCTTATAAACTTTGAATTTTTTAAACATTTTTTAGCTCATTTGATGAATACAGTTCAGAACTTAAATCTGGAAGGTTGGAATGGAGTCCTGTGCACAAATCCGAGAAATTTTGGAGAGAGAATGCTGTGAGATTAAATGAGAAGAATTATGAGCTCTTGAAGTAAGTATTTCATTCCATATTATACCTTTACACCTATTATTCACATACCCATTAGAATTTTATTTTTTTAAAAAATTTTTTGGTGATTTGAGTGAAATTTTACAGAATGAAATGGTTTTTCATTCAATTGTTTATACACATTTTTTTCATGCGTTGAATGCGGTCCCCACAGTGTAACGGTACTCTTTCATTTTCCTTCCTGTGATTACCATTTCCATATGTCCTTCTTTTCTATCCATTCCGGCCTTCTCAGCTTTATCCCTGGGCAAATGCTACCCTTTTGATCTCTATGGTTTATTGTTCTAAGGAACCAGCACTGATTTTTGTCATTCTTTTTAATTTTAGGTATTCTGTGGTTTTCATTTGTATTTTCTTGCTGACTAGTAAGGTTGACAACCTTTTCATATCTTTATTGCCCATTTGATATATTCTTTTCAGGAGGGAAGTACCTGTTCAATGACACCCCGCACCCCCCATTTTATAGAAGTTCTATATGTATTTTTTACATGAGGCCTTTATCATATATGTTCATCAAAAAAGTTTTCCCATGCTCTGTGGCTTGCTATTTTACTTTTTAATGGCATTTCGGTTAACAGAAACTCTAAATTTTAATGTAGTTCAGTTTATCAGTGTTTCTTTAATGGGTTAATGCTTTTCTGTGTCCTGTTTGTTTAAGAATGTTTTGCCTACCCAAGGTCAAAAAGATGTTTTTTGTTATCTTCTGTAAGCTTTGTTACTTAACTTTCTACATGTAGATCTCTACTCCATCTGGAATTGATTTTGCGGTAAGGTATGTAATGGCTGTCAAAATTCATTTTTTCCCTGTACATGGATATCTTATTACTCCAGGACTATTTACCGAAAAGAACATTTTCTCCAGTGCTCCAAGGTTACTTTTGTTTGATAAGATGACCATGTATGTACAAGTGTCTCTCCCCTCCCTCTTTCCTTCTCTCCCTTTTTCTCTTCCTTATTTTCTTTCATTGAGATATAATTCACATACCATACAATTCACCTATTTAAAGTGTACATTTCAGTGATTTTTATTATATTCACAGATATGTGCAACTATTACCACAGTCAATTTTAGAACATTTTCATTGCCTCAACAGGAAAGCTCATGACCTTTAGGTATCACCTTCTATTCTCCAACTTCTCAGGGCTAAGCAACCACTAATCTGTTTTCTGTTTTAGTAAATTTGCCTGTTCAAGACATTTCATGTTAGTGGAATTATGGAATATTTGTCCTTTTATGACTAATTTATCTCATTCAGCATAACATTTTCCAGGTTTATCCAGGTTGTAGCATACGTCAGAATTTAATTTTTCTTTAGGGTCAAATAATATCCCATTATAGGATATTATACCATGTTTTGATTATTCATTCATCAGCTGATGGACACTTAGGTTGTTTCCACCTTTTGGCTATTATGAATACTGCTGCTATAAGTATTTGTGTGGAAATATGTTTTCATTTCCATTGGATATATACCTATGTGTGGAATTTCTGAATCATGTGGTAACTCTTTGTTTAGCCATTTCAGGAGCATTTAGACTCTTCCAAAATGACAGTACCATTTCACATTTGTACACTAGTGTATAAGGCTTCTGCTTTCTCCACATCCTCACCAATGCTTATTATCTGACTTTTTAATCATAGCCAATCTGGTGGTTGTGAAGTGGTTTCTCATTGTGGCTTTGATTTGCATTTTCTTTAGAACTATTGACATTAAACATATATTCATGTGGCTTGTTGGCCATTTGTATATCTTCATTGGGGAAATTACTGTTCAGATCCTTGGCCTGTTTTTAAACTGAGTTATTTGTTTTTATTGAGTTTAAGCATTTGTTTGTAATTTCTGAGATTCATGAATATGTCACATCCCTCCTTTGTTGCTGTTGTTTCATTTCTCATTTTATCCATTTTTAAAGGTTTATACTTTTAAAACAATACATCCTTTTACTGTCATTTCAATGAAGTAAGAAGCAAAAGTATTCACTGAATGAGTATATGTTCAGTAGAACATCTTTAGATAGTCCTATCTCTATTCTTTAGACTTTATTTTCAATGTATCTGAAAATACTACATTATTCTTATTCAAATGTAGTGTGGCAAACCAAAGTGAATGGTTGACAGATATTCACAGGCTGGACTAATTGAAAATAGATATATAGGTGAGAATAAGGAAGAGTTTTTTTTTTTTTTTAAGCATGCCTTGCCATTTTGCATTTCTAACTTTAGCAACAACAAAAAAGCTTAAATAATGTTTTTCATATCTATTCTTTGGAAAATTTATATATAATGGGGAAGCTCTTTACTAATTATTTTAGAAGCATTACCTGTATTTTTCTAGATGATGTTATCATGTGTGTTAATCACAAGTTGTTGTCTGTTATTGTTGGTTCATTGTCTAAAGAACTCCCTTTAACATCTCTTATATTGGTCTGGTTTTTTATAAATTCCCTTTATTTCTGTTTGTCTGGAAATGTCCTAATTTCACCATCACAGTTGAGGGACCATTTTGCTGTGTATATAATTCTTGGTTGGCAACATTTTTCTTTCAGGGTTTTATATATGTTATCCCATTGCCTTCTTATCTGCATGGTTTCTGCTGAGAAATAAGAGCTTAGATTTATTATTTGCCCTTTGTAGGTAACTATTCTTTTTTCCTAAACTGCTTTCAGGATTCTTTTTTTTTTTTGGTGTATGTTTATAATGATACACTTAAAGAGCCTTATAAAATGCATATTCTATTTTCTGACATTGGGTTGTAATTTTTATAGCCCCTTGAAATGAAACCATTTACCTTTTGAATAACCCTTCGAGATTTTTTTAATTTTATTGTGATTTGGGTGAAAGTTTACAGAGCAAATTCATCCTCCATACAGCAGTTCACATACACTTTGTCAAATGACATTGACTGTAATTTCCCACAAAGCAAGAGCTCTTTTCCCACTTCCTCCCCATAGTTACTTCTTCCCTGTGTCCTTCCCTCCCATGCATTTCTGCCTCCTGAGCTGTCTCTTTGTGCATACTCAGCCCTCCTATTCTCCCATGATTGATCTCTCCAAGAAGTGTATCTACCTAATGTAAATGTTCAGCTCATATGCCTGTCTTTTGTTTGGCTGGAAACCATAGGAATGGGTTCTCCAGACCTGAAGGGCAGTGAGGGACTATAGTCTCAGGCATTCCACCAGTGCTAAGGGGGCAGGGAGGCTGCATCTTCTGACCACCTCTAATGGCACAAGAGGAAGACAGAATCACCATCTGCAGCCCAAGGCCTATTTCTGTGAGGCCAGACATGCTGCCTCCCCTTAGCCCTTTCACCAACCCTGACACCAACCTTTCCTCCCACAGCACCTACCACTTCTCTGCTGGGTTCGATAATTCACTGCAGTGACCACACAGAACTCACAAATTATGGGGTTTATTAGGGAAGTACCAGGCTGCAATTGAAATTCAGGAACAACACTCAGTCTTTCTCAGCCCACCCTCTCAGCCAGCAGTCTCTCTCCAGCAGTGCGTGTCTCTCAGTGTCTCTCTCTCAGCAATGCATGTCTCTCGGTGTCTCTTTCTCAGCAATGCGTGTCTCTCGGTGTCTCTTTCTCAGCAGTGCGTGTCTCTCGGTGTCTCTTTCTCAGCAGCACATGTCTCTCAGTAGCGTGTTTCTCTCAGCAGCGCGTGTTTCTCTCAGCAGCATTTCTTTCTCAGCCAGCAGTCAGAGAGACTCCTTCTGCCTCTGGGAGGGCTCCTTTTGAGCCTGGCAGAGTGGCCAAACTAACCAATCATAATATCAGAATTCTAAACACAAGAGAGAGAGCTAACTTCCCAGAACATTGCTTGCAACAGAAATACCCCAGGTGGATAACTTTAATAATCAGAAGCTCCTCATTTGCTCACAGCAAATTCCACCACGGAGTTCACAAAGACTTTTGGCTAGAAAAACCATACTAGGTAATTTAGTACACCACAACCAGGCTCTATCAGACCAGCAAACTTGGTCCTTTTTTTTTTTTTTTAATGATTTTGAGTTTTTTTCCACATTGTTTTCCCACTCTATCCAGGATCTCCTACATAGATCCTCCTCTGAGTGGTTGACAGTGGTAACCAGGCACTGTCTACTTCTTCTGGTCTCATGGTCATATAACCTGAGGATCACATTGTGTACTACTCCCTTGGATTAATTTTTTCCACATGCCTTTGGTTTTCTTCATTCTTCTTTGCTCTGGATGAGGAGACACCCATTGTTGCATCTAGATGTCTACTTGCAAGCTTTTAAGATCCCAGTTGCTACTCGCCAAAGTAGGATGTGGAACAATGTTTTTGTGTAGTATGTTATGCCAATTGAGCTTTCTGTCCCTTGCAACCATGGTCCCAAGCCCAGAGGTCCTACTACTTGCTCCCTCTGGGTAGCTGGCTATAGCCAAGATGTGACTACAATCTTGTCCTTTGTCAGCTCTACTATATGTCTGGGAATTCTTACAGAACATACAAAGACACTTGTAGAAACATTGTCTGCCAACCCTTTACATAGTCATGGGCACACTACCCTGTGCATAGACATACCTAATCATTCAGCCTGTTCACCTTTCTATCCATTCATAGATCAATGTTTGCCATCACTGACAACACAGTACTACTGTATGTGCAAAAGTGTTTGTCTTATCTGTACCTCCCATGCATCTCTCTATGTCTTCCTCTTCCTCAATACCACTGTGTTGATCACTCATATTTGATACATTGCCCTTCCCTTCACCCAAATCAGTACTTGTCCCTACCTATCTAACAGTCTTTGGTCCCCTCTCCTCCTGCCCCTGAAAACCAAAAAAGAAAATTTTCTTTCACATATAAACCTTACCTTGACTTTTTACAATAACAGACTAATATAATATTTGTCCTTCTGTGATTGACTTATTTCACTCAGTATAATGTCCTCTAAGTTCATCCACGTTATATGGTGTTTTGCAGATTCTACATTATTCTTTAGGGTTGTATAGTA